GGTGATAAGGCACACAGTTGAATGCCAACTGGAGAGTTTTCAGGAGGAGTTTAAGAGAAGAAGATAATTTGAGATCACATTGAGAGTAGAAGGCGCAGGAGAGAGAAGGCACTGAGAGTGAGTGAGATCGGCTTCAGGAGAGGAGAGGAGGAGGTTGACCAGATTCGATGGGAGTTTAAAGTGGAAAAAGAGGAGTTCACCCCTTCACCACGGTCGCCAGACGTTTTCATCGTCTTTGCTGTTGATGGCGGTGGAGTTGTGGTGGCGACCTCCCATCGAGCAGTCAACGGCCATGTCCAGTTCGCTGCAGGCCGAGGGACTGAGCTGTTCGCTGTAGAGCGAGCTGGCGCTGGAGCCGGCGGGGGAGCTCAGCGAGGAGGAAAGATGGTGCTTCGAGCCTCGGAAGAAGAGATCAGAGATCGGGTTCTTTGAGGAGGGTGATGATTGAAGGTGGTGCACACTGTGCGGGTGCAGGTTGAAGGCAAAGTGCGAGGAAGTGGTCGACGAGGCGGAGGAGGGCGGCGTGCTCAGCAGGTGGTGGTTGCCAGAGGACGACTTGATGTCCACTGGAGAAGAGCAGGACTGGTGGTGGTGGTGGTGGTGGTGGTGGTTAGCATTGAGGAAGGAGTTGCTGTTGTTGTTGATGTCACCCCCGAAGGCCGAGGAGGAAGAGGAGAAAAGGGAGGAAGAAGCAGGTCCGGTGGTGCCGAAGGGAATCTGCACCTGAAGAGGGTTGCCGGGGAAGGGAACTCCTCCGACTGACTTGGCGAAGGGTGCTCCAACTCCAGCAGCAGCAGCGGCGGCGTTCTGCATCTGATTGAGACTGTTGACGCAGTGGTTCAGGTGGCTGAGAATTCGCTGGCGCAGGCTGCTCGTCTCCACGGTGCTCGCCCCCGTGCTCTCCATCATGTGGCCCATGTAGCGGCTGACCTCGGTGGCGCACTCGCTGAAGCCGGCGCGGTACTTGTTGAGGACGGCGCCGTCGTTGACGATGCTGGCGGCCACCTGTTGACGCTGGAGCTTCTGCAGGTGACGGACGGTCATCTCGAGGATGTCCGCCTTCTCCAGCTTCGAGTGGCGGCTGGGGTCCTTGTTCAGGGCGTCCAGAATTAGAACCTTCAGCTCGTTGAGGCTGTTGTTGATGCGAGCACGACGTTTCTTTTCCATGATTGGCTTGGTGATCTGAAGATTGGAAGGAAACAAAAGAAAGAGTTGGTTAGTTAACTGTAAACTTTTTGATTTTTTAAAATTTTAAAGTTTGAAAAAATTTTCTTAGGTAACTTACTCGTCGGTGCTCAGATGCTTTGGTGAGCGGCTTGTTGCCGCCGCAACGAGACAGGTCGCTAGTCGAGGACTCGACGGTGTTGCTTGATCCGATGTTGGCAGTCATTGTGATAAGGTTGAGTGTTGGGAGTTTGGAGGTGATGAAGTTCAAGAANCGGTGCTCAGAGGCCTTGGTGAGCGGCTTGTTGCCGCCGCAACGAGACAGGTCGCTAGTCGAGGACTCGACGGTGTTGCTTGATCCGATGTTGGCAGTCATTGTGATAAGGTTGAGTGTTGGGAGTTTGGAGGTGATGAAGTTCAAGAAAAAAAGTACAAGTGCAAGTGTTCAAGTGTTAGAGCAGAGCAGAGATCACTCAAGGCACTGAAAGTTTAAGAGAGAGCGGGGAGATCGATCGAGAGCAGGATCGCAGTGGCTCACTCGAGGAGGTAGTCGACGGCCTTTTATACTCGCAGCTCTCAGCTCGGTGGGCGGGAGTTGCTGCCACTGCTGCTGCCTCTGTCGCTGTTCTCTGTCTGTCTGTCTGCTGTGAGCTGGACTGAGCTGCTGGAAGAGCAGCTGCAGAGGCAACATGCCAGCAGTCAGTCAGCCAGTATGACATGTGTGAGTGAGGATCAGTGTGTGAAGTTATTTTCCCGTGAGAACGTTTGCCGCGACTGCTGCTGCTGCCCTGTTATCTTGCACCCTACAGAGGAGAGAAAGAGAGAGAGAGAGAAGGGGAACTAAAGTGAGGGAAGGCACACCACTAGTAGTGTGTTTAATGGAACCCAGGAAGAGAGAGGGAGAGAGAGAGAGAGACTGATGCCTGTTGCTCCTCTTACACTCTGCACAGGCTGGCGCGCGAGTCTGTCGGCACTCGCACCAGCCTTCTTCTTCTTCTCCGTCTTCTTCTGTGGCTGTCGGTCGGTCGTCCATTGGCACGAGGCCACTCTCTTGCAGTGCTTAGGAGAGGGTCAGTAGTAGCTCACTCCACCACGCGCGTTCGCACTCCGAGCCGCTGATCGTGGGAACGTTTCACCGGTGGGGCAAAAAGTGACGGCGATTATTTGAGAAAGAGAGAAAGAGGGGGCTACAGAACTGGACGACTGCCACCCACCTGTGTGTGCCTCACTCAGTGCCAGTGCTAGTGCCACTGACTGGGACTTTCATTCATGCAAATGTGCGATGCGACAACTGTTGCCACACTATCTTCTGGTCAAGGAGAGGGAATAGGGTTTAGTCATTTTCTCAGGCAGGGAC